TTTTGAGTGAACTGTCACGCCGAGGTTGAGCAGATAATCTCGCGGCTAATGTGCCTCCATAATAGGTGTCAGTCCAGTTTTGCGTCGTCCCTTTTCACAGGCCGTGAGGCGGAAACGCTGACTGCATCCGAGCGACTCCATGCTGCCATAAGTACTCTGTTCTTTGCAGGTGTTTATGTAAGTACTCCGTTCTTTGCAGGTGTTTACGTAAGTACTCCGTTCTTTGCAGGTGTTTACGTAAGTACTCCGTTCTTTGCAGGTGTTTACGTAAGTACTCCGTTCTTTGCAGGTGTTTACGGTCCGATTGTAGCTCTGCGTGCAGTTTTTGTACGAGGCCCGGTTCCATCTGTAACTTTGATGCATCGGAATAAATGTGGAAACTGGTCAACAGTTAATAAAATGACAAAACTCCCTATTGCCCAACAATATGGCCTTCATGTTATTTAAACATACTAAGCAGAACATGAATAGAACTAAGGAGACCCAGGACTGAGATGTTTTATGTATCATCAGGGATTTCCCGCTGGCTGTTTTGTGGCTTAGTATGCCTCCACGGACCCTAATAAGTAGAAAGACCGGCATATAATCAAAATCAGAATCTGGTTTATTGGCCAAGTATGTTCACACACACAGGGAATTTGTCTACAGTTGTCATTGGCTCTCATACATACAGTAGATACATACACAGTTAAGACAAGACAATGGTCACATGCAATTTGGTTGATATATACAATGTGGATGTGTTGTCAATAAATGTATAACGCTGTGCAAAAGTCTTAGGAAGTCAAAGAAAATGACGTTTGAATGATCTTAATGTTGGTGTAAGACTATGAAACAATGTCTGCCAAAGTGTGTTAGCTTAGCCATTCCTAAACCTCTCCTAAAGATACCCCAGGATTTGCAGCAACATCCAATACACCCATATCGTGTTCGACTTGACCACTAACCTAGTCTGGATAATCTGTACCTCACTGAGTTATTTGACTAATTAAATAAAACAATTAACTGAGTAGGTGATGAAATTTAACGTCTACATGGAATGGCTGAGGTGCCCCTGAGGAGAGGTTTGGGAACTGAAGCGGTGTTTATATAGCCATCCAACAAGATATCAGTAACTTTTTGGAAAACAGAATATATTATTGTTAGTTTCTATTGTATTACTGTTCATTTCCATATATTCTAATGTTAAATTGCGTTTTTCTAGACTTACTACCCAAAACATAATATTGGACCTAAAAAAAGAAAAATTGAATTTCGTTATAAATGAAAAAAACACAATAAAGCAATAAATAAAGCCTACTGTGTATTAATTTGGCAGTAATCCCGTTATCTTAGTTTGTCTTATATACACTGATATTCATCCACGGATTGCAGCTTGATCCGCAGGCCGGGTCCAATGCCCCTTTCCAAGGCCATGCCAGAACGCTGGGAAACACGAGAGCTTCCCAATGGCCGTGAAAAAAAGCACTTTAGCTGTTATTATCCTCCTCACCCAAACAATCTATTAAAACCGAAACTGGGAGATAACATCACCGGACACCGAACGGATGAATTTCACACCCTGGGTCTCAGTAGGATTGGCGTTATAAGGCATTCTGGTCATTCGCTAATGAGTAATGCAGTTATGTATCTGTTTTTATATTGATACAGTGTGTGTGATACAGAGCTGATCGAAATTCCTATTTAAATAAGTATTGCCGATTCTTGAGCATGAAAACATATTTGATTTAAGATGCGTAAAAATGAACATTTTAACTTTAAATTGGAAACACGTGCCCCGTGGAACATATTGTATTTCGAGGTACAGAAAATTGCTGATGGTTTCGAGCTGGGAATCGTTCCATGCTAGACAGTTCGGGATAGCCTTACGGAATGAAAAACTAAAAACAGTACTGTGTATTGCACAGCTTTGGGATTAATCAATAACTTAGTATAAAACATTCACTACCGGCCGCGGTCATGAAAATGAGTGCATATGGTGTTTTCGAATGTCAAGACCTTTGATTAGCTATTTGATTTTAATAGATTTTTTTTTTGTTGTTGCCTCTCTCACAAACCTCCAAGCAGGACAATTCACAACAGAGCACAGTGCAGGGGGAGGGGGGGGGGGATTAAGGGTCATTCGAACCCTGTGGTCTGAGAGCAGAGTGCAGGGTGACAGAAGGCTGCCCAACGCCGGCAGAGTCAGAATGACTGGCACCTGCATCCCCACCATTAACAGATCGGAGACGTTAATGGGGGGTAAGAGACTAGTTGGAGGAAACTCAATATCGATGCTGCGGAGAACATGCCACCTCCACTCCAGAGCTCCCTCAGCGGTGCGCAAAAGGCCCATGTACCCGGGGGGGGGGGTTCATCGGGGTGGTATCACGGCGCCACAAGGCTGTAAGGCTGTACTCTGTAAAAGTAGGCATATGGCTAGATCAAAATGCCTATGTGGGGGCTATGTGGTTTTTTTTTTAATCAAGTACAGAAAACATTATATTAATTGACTCCTTTTTGACGTTATCTCCCAGAAATTATTTATATTAAAAATCCATTTTCTTTCTTTTTAATTCTTGTTATTTCTTGTGGTTTCTAAGCACTGTTGTTAATCAGCCATTCAGGGAGTCACACCACAGAAGGAGATCTGATAAGGTTATGGGTGTTGCGGTGTGACTGAAATTCGGATGAGAGCAGCCCGGTGTAACGTACGAGATGCCGAGTGAACGATTGTGCTCGTACAACGTGAAGTGCCAGCTTTAAGTAAACGGCTCCTAGGTACGGGCCTGTTAGGACGCTGGCAAATTCTCACCTATTATGTTTGATATACGTATTGAAATATGTTTCAATGTTTCAGTTTTTGTTTACGGAATTGTCACTGCTTGTTCGGTGATTCATGTAACGCCCTCTTTAGGAAGATCTATAATTTATAATTACAATTGTTCACCTAGAAGTAGAAATTATACTGTCCGTTCACATCATTAATATTATGCGGAAGGTTGCTTCTCAAATGTACCACCGCAAAGAATCTGCTTCTTAAAACCCTGTAGCTGACAGCATGTACCGGGCATTATTCTTTATTACGATATATAAATCTTTAAATTATTCAAACATGGAGAGGTAGAATGGTGCCCTAATATATTTTATGAGTTATTTTTAAAAAATACTGTTAATAACTTTAAAGTTGAAATTTCCTTGGATGAGCTCGATCATAAAACGGTAGACTTGTTTTCTTACTTGCTTGATATATTTTTATTTGTTAGAGAACATTTTCCTGTAAATTGTAATATACCCAAATATGGAAACGAACCGGAGATCATGTGAATATTTTAAATTATCATCAACGAGACTTAAACAAATATTTCGGCTGCAATGCATTATCGTTATAAGTATTTTAACTAAAACAAAAATCCCTATATAATGCATAATAATCACTTTATTACCTAATGTTGACAATTTCATTCGAAGACTTAATTTTATAAGCTGTTTTTTCTTACTTCATTTTTATTTTTCATTCATTTAATTTTCAAATTCAATGTTCATCCTTTCATATTAGATCAATTCAGTTGATAATGAAATAAAATGTTAAAAATATCTAACTGTACTGGACAATTCTACCGCTTTGCTGAATGGGCACGACTAATACGCTGAAAATACAAATGTTATATAATAAGCCCAATTTGAAAAATGTTTGCCTATATCTGGAATGAAACACACCGATTTTAGGTAATATAGGCTATACTTCGATCAACAGAAGTAGATTTACGCTGTTTGACTGTTTGAGCAAGACAATAGTATTTAAAGAGAAGCATAAATCCGTCATAGAGGATTCTCATTCGTAAGGCACCTCTGATCCGGAAAGACTACGTACGCGATCCATATGAATTTCACGATAAATCTACCAATTTGTACACACACACAGACAAACATACCTATACATAGATAGATAGATAGATAGATAGATAGATAGATAGGTAGATACCCGCCAATTCGCGACAACACAGCGTCCGTCCCAAATTCTGAGTTGCTGAATGATGCTACTACTATTACCAGTACATTAATAAATATTTTATTATTCGTATTAATACTAATACTATTATTGCTGCTGCTACTTCTACTACTACTACTAATAATAATAATAATATTTCCATTAAAAATTATAATAATGATAGCCTGATGGTCGTTAATATCCTTGCATTTTTAATTGGCGAAGATTTGATGTTCAACATCCACTCACTTCGCCCATTTCAAATACCGTACGCGAAGATGCGGCTTTTTTACACTTGGTTTCGATCATTGTTTATTTTTCTAACGGAAGTAATACTGTTATAGTAAAATGACCCCCGATGGCGCAAAATCGTCTGCCTTTAAATGATCCGGCATGGCACGTATTGTAGTGCAGTGTCAGACATAGGCACTGATGTGAAAAATCGTGTTTTGTGGCGCATTCTCTTCGTGTTCACAAGAACTTGGCGGTCGCCAAAGCGCCACAGAGACGACGAGCAGGTCCTTCAAAATTATACTGATTTGACACGTAACTGTGATCTCGATTATACTCCTAATGCTAGATTTAGTTCGCGGCCAGCTACGATATACGTTTCATAGTTAGCAATGGGCATAGTCATTGTGTACAGATCCTGTGATTTAAAAAATCTGGAAACGTTAATTACTGCATTGAACCGTGCCGATAAACGAGCGCACAGTCGCTTAGGCAAACGAGTTATTTGGCCTGATTTTCTGCCTCTATATTCGGCCTAGTGCAGATCCGGAGGGCATCGCCGGATCAGTGATCATTAGTAATTAGACTCAGTGGTCAGTTACCCGTGCATATCGTTTATGACAATAGACCATTTCTCATGCTTGTCTCACAGAAATATGTCTTTCTGTTACGTTTGTCTTCTGATTGTCGTAAATTCGGTATTGGCAAGAAATATAGGCTATACATGGGCAACGCACAGACATACAGACAAATGCCAAAAATAGTTAAATGACCTGCAGGCAATAAAACTACAACTGAGAACTATGCGGTTTCTTTAATTCAAAATTTAATAACAATTCAAAGACGAAAAATAAACAGTATTACCTGGCCATAGGAGGCAAGAAACAAATAATAAAAAGTATATTTAAAATAGGCTACACTTTTTGCAAAACATGCTCAAGCCAAAAAAGAAAGCTTCAATACATTCTTTTAAATATAATATGCCGATTTACTTTGAACGTAACGTGTTGAAATACATAAATGCATGCAAAGATCTAGCTATCTTTGGCGGTGTTTGGTGGTACACGGACAAAATAATAATAATAATAATAATAATAATAATAATAATAAACATGATGTAAACAATGAGTGTGAGTATGATGCATTTGAAGTAATTGGTTTTTTTTTTTAAATAAAGACAACAGTCCATGTAAAACAAAATAAAGTATTGTCCATCGTTTTTTTTTTTTAAAGTAGACGTTCAGAATAGTGCTATATCAAAGGTATCAAAACTTATTAAACTATTACAGTAATATTGCCGTATTTATCTACCGATATGGTAGGTATATATATATACACAAATTCCTTGGCTCAGTATCTCCCAAGTTTAAAACGAACCAGACGAAAACGTTTCTTGCTGTGAAGTTTAGGCTAAACGAAGAGCCGAGAGCAGCCACTCGTAAAAATGTAGCGATTCTCCAGGGCGCCGCACAGTTTGAGTTATACGTCTCCTTCGAAGAGGCTGAAGTATTTACTCGCGTTTGAAAAACACAAGTAAGGCGAGCTGTTCCCCGGATACACGATGGGAAGAGGCATGGGCAATAGGCATCTCCCCAATACGCTGTTTTCTTTGTAAAATGCTGGCATGTTCCCGGTCTTCCCAGCATCGGCGAAGTGGTCAGCGGCATTAGGTCCCTCAAGCTCCATTGAGATCTGCCGTTTCAGCTTATTCCTGCGATTCTGGAACCAGATCTTAACTTGGGTCTCGGTAAGTTGTAAGGAATTGGCCAGGCAGGCCCTCTCCGCGCTGCTGAGATACCGCTTCATGTCAAAGGTGGACTCCAGCTGGAAGATCTGCCTTTTGGAGAATATCGTGCGGGTCTTCTTCTTCGCCATCACCTTGCTCTTCTTGCTGACCTTGTGCTGCGACGCCCCGTCGTCGCAGCTGTCCGTCTCCGCCCCGGGACATTTCTCAATGTGCAGCCGATCTTCCCTGCACTCTGTGAGGGATTCAGCAGCCCCATTGTAACAGTTCGTGTTTATTTGCTCTGTGGATTGAAGCAGGTCACGCACGTCAGTAAATTAACAGCCTAAGTAGGCAAATAAATAGAGAGAAACCATTCTCTCTGTCATTGAATTACATAAATAATCTGGTAGGATATAATGTTTCAATAAAAAATTAACTGGTGCTTGGTAGATGTCATAAAATGTGTGTTTAAACGAATTTCATACTAACGTTATTTCAAATGAAGGCTATTTTTTATCACTCTGTAAAGATAAACAGTGAATTTAGGAGGTTTAAGTTTAATATCAGACTATTGATCACATTTATTGGGTTTTATTATTTATTAAAGTGCAGTAGACGTTATTCAGGATAGTACCTCTCTCTGAGAGTCTGCAGTCGGGGTCCTGCCTCCCGTGAACTTCCTCCAGTCCAGGCTGGAAATCATTTTTGTGTTGTGCGGCGCTCTGTCCTTCGGAAGTACGGCTGTCAAATTCCTTACTCTGTTTAAGATTGAGTATATTTTCAATCGTAAACTTCAGAGACGCTGGTCGGCATGACATATTTTCTTTACTCATATTTTCGGAAAATTACCGCTCCGTCTGCGTTCGGATCCTATAGCGAGACTACGGGATATTGCTGCGTCTTTATGCTCCGCGAACCATAGCTCCATGAGTGGGGGAAGCGGCGGCGAACGAGGGGCGCTTTACTCCATTACCCGGAAGAGAGTGCTACTGCGGCCATCGATTGGTCAGACGCTACGGGGGGCGAGGTGGCCAATTGCAGATGGGGGTGGGGGCTAATACTGGTGCGTCTTCACCCAGGGCGGAGGAAGTCATTTATGAAGTAACCGGGGCCGTAATTAACACTTTTCGTTTAAGGTAGGCAAACATAAGCTGTATAATGAATTTACTGCAGTCATTTAACTGCCTACGTTTATTATAATGTGGCTTGAACAAGAACTAAATAGTACAGATTCTTCTATTTGAGACATAGTGAGGAATAACCTCAATTAGTTGTTAAACAATGTTTAGTTACGTTTTACTTTTTTGTTGCAAAGCATGTTATTAATTTTGCTTTTACATTATTAAATATTATGCCACGATTCAGTATAATGGCTTGCAATATTAAAACGATTCTAGTTCTTGCACTTATAGATACAGCAGTTATCGGTGTAAAATTGATTTTTTAAAACTTTTCCCTATGCTTTAACTTCTTTAGATTGACACAAAAAAATTATTTAAAAAGTATACTACACACACACACACACACACACACACAAATATATATATATATAAAGATTTTCAAGCGAAATTGTAATCAAGCTTTCCTCCATTTCCTCTGTCTTCTAATAATCTGATTGTTATTATTATTAAGTGCATTTATGTGTAATTTCAGCAATATTTCATATTACCTTTACTTATGGCCACTATATAGCGAGTGACCTTGTTAACTATAGATTTTTGAATAGTCATGTGGGGAATTATTACAGACGATGACGACTGCCGAGCACGACGATCTCCCCGCGCTACAGGAATGATTGTCACCTGCAGGTACCGTCTCTGGCTGTCATTCTACCGCAGGATTTGAACACACAGTCCACTACTGTCCCGCAGTAATCAGTGGACGTGTCGCGACAGGAAACGGGCGCATCAGGACCGCATGTCGTATAAGGTACACGAATGAGAGTAAGATATCGTATTCGTGTACTCTCCGGCCTTCAGTTACATATTGACAATACAGATACCACATAAGGAACAAGGACATAGATTAATGTAAAATCCTAAAATCAGAATTAAAATCTTAATTCTGAATGAAAAACATTTTTTTTTTACAAAACCAAATTAAAAACGTGAAGGACAACCAAAAGTATGACTCGTTTGTAAAGCGCATAGGCCTATAACGTGTGTTCCTGCTGTGCTAATTCTTTGAATGCCGATAATAGGTGTATTATTCCTGGTGCAAATTATTGTAGGTGTCTTATAACAGGAAATTAATATTACACTGGGCCCGCAATTTGTGTAAGTAGGCGGATTAGTGAATGGTGAAGCCAGAAAATGTGCAGCACACCTGACCAAAAGCGGAGACACTTCACACAAAACTTAACGTCGTCGGTTTTGGTTTATAGTACAATAAGGGAACGGCAAGGATCCTTTGAGCTGGAGGACACTGATCTGCCGCGTCCACGCCGACCGCTGGCGGCCGTTTCCACGTGTCTCTGTGGTCTTGGAACCAGATCTTCAGCTGCCGCTCTGTGAGATGCAGCGTGGCGGCCGCACCTGCTCTTCTGGGGCTGCTCGGGGTTCCGCTTAGCGTCAAACGTGAACTCCGGCTGGAAGACCTGACTGCTGCTCTACACCGTGCGGGTTTTTATTTTTTCTTGCGGGTCGGGTTCAGATTTGTAGGCGGGTGTTCATCAGACGGTAGCAGGTCATCCTCCCCATTGTTATCTGACAACCTCTCCTCGGATTTCTCATCCGTTTCGGTCCAGTTCATTGGTTCAGAAGTTACTGGGGAATCCGGGTCTCTGGTTGCTGGGGAATTACAAAAATTACATAGTAACCCCTGTTCGGACCCAACATGAAACGCTGATAATAGTTATAAGCTGGGTGTTTATTAATATAATGTTAATAAGATGTAAATAACCTGTATAGTCACTATATATATATTCGTAAAACATACAGTTTAATTGTGAGGATGATCAATGAGGAATTGATTGCCTGTCTAGACGCAAAACAATTTCATATTATACAAAAAGTTGTAAATATTGTAATAGAGCATGTTATGTATTGTTGTAAAGACAGTGATACGTGAAGCGGCTGTAAATTGTCCCCGTTAATCATAATTAATTAAGCCGAGGCTGAGAGGAGAGTTCAGTGACACACAATTGATATAACAATGTAACTTAACGTGAAGCCACAGCTCGCGGTGCTGATGACAGCAAATGCGCGGCAGTAAACGCTGCGTTTCGGAAGGAAGTTATGAAGAACCAAATTATTATTACTTCTAGGTTTTGCTTTATCTTACCAATTTTTACGTGGTCTAACGAATAAAGAACCACTGTGGGGTAAACTACCCCGAAACTAGTTTATTTAAGTCTGCTGACAGGACATTTTACTGCAATACGACAGTTCGTGCTCAGTGCTTTTATACCCTGCGGATGTTTGAAATGGCATCGTGATCTGCGTCGTTTTTGTCTTCACTTCTCCTGTAACGGAATAAATTCTCAATAAAAACGAAGAAATCCGCACAGCTTTTATATTTTGGCTTTCTATTGATATAACAGACATGTTATTTCCGAGTTCCAATACGTCCCATTTAAAGTCCCTTTCGTTTCATGTTATGTGTCTGGGATTCTCTGATCAGTCCCAGTTCTTGGGGACTGGGAGACCCCGTCAGAAAAAAAAAAATCTTTATCTGGGTCAATTGTGGAGCCATCGAAATACAGACTGCGGCTACCTACTGAGTAAATGGAAAGATTTTAAATGTAGTATCTCCTACCGGGTTTTCTGTTCTTGGCGCACACACAGCTGCACTGACATCTTAAATTTCTCATCTGGAAAGGCTTTACAAGTTAAGCAATATGTAAGATATTTAATTTGCGGAAAGTGTGAGCGTGGCGCGTTCTTTTGTTCCACTACTGCATTACGGCAGTTTCCATAAATGAATTTATTAAAGCAAAGAATGGTTTTGTAGGGAAATTCTTACCCTACGTGTATTAAACGCATAACAAAGATATTTTTATTATACTACAGCAATAAACACCTTAATTATTTCTTAAATATGCAACTGTTAATCCCACAATACGCATCCAGGTTTGACGGTCGGAAGGTTAAATGGATAGGAAAATTACATACATATTTAATCGTTAATTTTCAAAACTTCCGGTAATCATTCCTCATATATTTTTTCACGTAAATGTGGAAAGATAAATACAGAATTTATAAAATAAGACAAATGCTTTTTGACCGTCCTATGTTTTGTTTCGCGGATGTACTTAAATATTACAAAATACACTTATGAATCAGCTGTAACAGATTTGCACCCAGCAAGATCTGGAAATTGAATCGGTTAATCTGACGCGGCTACTTTTTGAAAACACGATACAAAGTTATTTTCTCACGGTATAAAACAAAAACAAGTAAATAAGTCACACCGAGGTCAAAGATTCCTATCAATTAATTCATGCTCGGCTAAAGCACCAAAATATCTGAAAATATTATTTATTTAGGAAGACATCACAAAATATTCTATATCGATAGGTGCAGTCGAAAGTACAAGTGAATGTAAAATGTACATGTGAATTAGTTAATATGAAGTTAATATTCCTTATTTTTCGTAATAAACAATAGCCTACATAGAAATGAATAGTCTGGGCAAAGTCCTCTTTCCGTTAATTTATGAGCTTCCTCAAAATATGGGCTGTATAACATAGTGATTCTACTCGCGTTTTGAATAATAATAATAATAATAATAATAATAATAATAATATTCCAAATATCCCGATCGATAATGTGTTTCAATTTCCCAGATCCAAAGTGAAAATTTAAATTACATTGTAGCGGTTATATTAAAGAATCCCCTTGAAAGAATTACATTATTGTTTTTTCCCACTTTGGTACTAACTTGAGTTTTTGTTCCTTATCATATATAAATCCTGACATTTATCTCTGGAATGATCCAGATCGGAAGGAAACAGAATCGGATCTTTTGTCAGCTGTGTGATATCTGTTGAGTCACTGAAACGTACTATTATATATTTTTCACCCCGTTCGTTCTGGACTATAACTGACATTGTTATATAAGAGAACAAGAACAAGTACAACTTTCGACTTCCATGGAAGGTCTATTTACGGAAACACCTTGGCGCGTTCCAGCTTAGCGTGGCTGCACGAGCCACCTTGCCAGTCTCCTTCAGGTCCGTCTTGCTCGCTAGTGAGGTCACTTAGATCATAGCACCACCCTCCTAATCCCGACTCAAACAACGCTCTCCTTCCATGCAGACATGTTAACCCGCTGATCTTCACGTGCTGTGGCGTGACCTTTACACCGCCTTCGGGGGTCCGCAGCCTTGTGCTTTCATGGGCGGCCTCGGCCATCTTTACATGGAGGAGACAGGGGTATGAATGGAGGAGCGTTTTCAGCTGCCGTTTTAAGAGACGCTTAATGAAACCCTATTAATCTAAGCGCATTTTGGTTCCGTTGACATCCATGTTGGAATCCATTTTATTACATTTTAAAATATTTAAAATTAGTAATAGTATCTGAATTACTCACATTTGTATGTAGATGTGCATTTCTAAAACAATTTGTGTTAAATTTTAGAGTCTGGTAACTCCAGACGGCTAGAGGTATGGCATGAATGATCAGGTAGGTAAGCTTTTTGACTTGAGGGCCCTCTGGCGGTGACTGGAATGAAGTACGCATATGGTGTTTGCGAGTCATTTGCGAATTTCATGCTACCATATCTGATCGACTTACTTGTTCCTCCCCTTAAGATCGAACACGATGGCATAATGTTTCAACTCTTCACAACAAAAAGGCACACACAGATCAATATCATTAATAATTAATATTTATTATTGCAATTATATAAAAATAACCCGGACTTAAGTATATTTGAATATATTTAATAAATGTATTAAATTCTTGAGAGGCACATTCGTTTTGTTCTTCTGTATATCTTGTTT